GAACACATAAGTTTTATACTTGATGTTACAATGTCCAGCAAAGGGACTACTTATCATAATCTTGACATAGAATAACAGTGGCAAGAAGAAATAATAAAACACTACCTAAAAGTTTCCTGTAAGTGGATATTCACTTCATAAATGCCACAGATATGAAAAACAGAAGTACCTGCAGAACATTTACAGAGCCCTGCACTGAGAATTGATGCTCTGTTTACTGTTCTGTTTTTGTGTATCTACACTGTACAGAGATGTGAACCACCATCCTTGGTATGCATACTCCTCACTGAGTGGAGAAAAAGCCTTAATATGAGCAAATGATACTACCAGTAGGAAGCTTATAATTCCCTGCTATCAAAATTTCAGCTTCACAAAAAATGTAACTCTCATGCCTGTGTGTGAAATTAGAATATTTATCTAATTCTAGTAATTAAAAAATCTTAGTCTCCTTTGATGAATGCAAAATAAATCAATATGACAGGAAACATAATTCCAACTGGAAACCACAATGACTGGTGTGAGAAAAAGCATTCGTAGTCAATCTATCTGATGAAACATGATCTCCTCTACAAGATATCATTATGCTATGTCTAATGATTCTCAGCCTTAGAACTTCTTTAAAAATCTACAAAAGCCAGTTCCCAGTGACCAGCAAGGGACTGACCCCTAGGTGCAAAGTCAGCTCTTTTTCAAATTGCTATACCTCAAATACCTCAAAATGTGCAGGCAGATATCTACCAGCACCTGTGCCAAAATTCTCTGTTCTCAACAGCAGGCCATTTTGCTCTTTTCCTCCCCTCTTTCTTAGTGTGAGAAGGAGGGACAAATCCAGGAGAGATGAGTTATTTGCAGACTAGTTCTTGTTAGACCTCTGCATTGCAAATTAATTGTTTTGGTGCAGCCATGCACTGTTAAATAGAACAGGATGGCAGCTTGGGGTTAATCTTCAAACTGAGGTCAATTGCCCTCCTGTGGAGCAACCTGAGGTCAGTCTCAAAAATTACTTTAAAATATCTGTACTGGCTTCCTCTTTATACAAGCAAAATTCTTTTTTGCCTCCCAGCCATCCAGTTTATTTTCCTAAAAAAAAAATCAGATCTTTGATATTTCTCAGAGTCAGTAATATTGTTTCACTTTCATGACCAACACTAATGCTGAGAAAATAAGTTAGATTAGACATAAGTCAATTACAGAAGGGTAAGTTTTAATATTGCCAGTCACAGCAGCCTTGTGGGGTTTTTCCTTAGTAAATTAAAAGACTTCCCTTTTCATCTAGAACCATCTTATCGCTCATTTCACTATCAGAAAAACACTCTGAAGATAATAAAAAGAGATTCTTTTAAAGGAAAATATATCTAGTTTAATTTCATCTCAGTTTTAAGAGGGAAGATTGTTCTATATTATTAGTTACTTGGGTTCATGTTTTTCCGTGCATACACAAGTGATAATAGCAAAATTTATATAAGGTGAATTGCCTGAGAATTGTGATTTCACTTACAATGCTAAACTAAGACTGTCCCAAAATAAAGACTGGTTTTTTTACAGCTGTGTCTCTTACACTGCTTGTGTTTTGTATGATGTTTACTCAGAAACTGCAATTCACACCTGCCCTAACTGCTTACTCCCAGGCTCCACACGTTCTTCAGGATTCAGCAACGTTCATCATTTTGACTATGTCACCCATTTGTTCAGCAAGTAATTTACTATCTTCCTTTAAGAATCAGGATACCATTTCAGGCTTAACTTCGGATGTTTAAAGCACTTAAGGTGCCAGGTCCAATTTACTTACTGCTAATGATTGATGTTTACTTTCTCTCTTGAATTAAAACTCAGGTCTGGATTACTCCATACCTGTTCCCACTGCGCCCTGTGTGCAGTGTGGATTCTGAACATTTCTCAAATGCAGTAGTATCCCTAAACAGATCCCTAGCTTTCATTGTATTTGTTTCAAATGGAGAAATTCAAAATTTTCTCATCAGCCTCACCATCTCTAAATGTGTGGGTTTCATTTCTCAGCTTCAGTTCATTTTCAAAATATAACAAGGCATTGATTTTGTAAGCCTGTTTTGTAGCAGTCCCCAGATGCTGTAATCAGACGTTCTTCTATCCTATAATCAGAAGAGAGGATATGACCTAATTCAGCTTCTTTGCATTATGCATCATGATACCTGACCACACACCCGAGACTGTTGCCTTCTTCGCAGCAAGATAAGGCATCAGAGCAGTTGTGCAGTTGTGGAGCAGAGTCCTGTCAGCGTGGTACCCAGCTTCCAGCCGAGGGTGCTAAAGGTGGAGGCACCCTGGGTAGTGCGTCACACAGGGCGAGCACAGCCTATCTCTCCCCCAGCAGTCACTCAGCTCTGGCATTCTCAGCAAGGGGCAATCCTGGTGTAGTTTCTCTGTCACCCACAGCACTTACCTCTTCCAAGTGCTTTCCCAATGTCTCCTTGAGGTTTTTAAGTCACGCAGCATCCTTCAGTGAGGAGCTTTACAGGTCTGTTACCTATGAGTGAAAACATGTCACGACTCCTTGAGTTCTGTACTGGAAGAGAGAGTGAGCAGTCAATTCCCATTGACTTTCCTACAGCACTAATGAACTTCAAAGATTTCTCTTCCCCCCCCTTATGTCCTCTCTTTTCTGGTAAGAAGAAAACCACTCTGTTTCATCTTTCCTGGTACAGACACTGCCACAGGTCTCTCATCACTTCCAATTCCCTTCTTCAGATCTTCCTCTGTCCAACCATACACTTCTGGAACAAGGGAACAAGAATAATACACAGTATTCAGCATGTAGCTGGACCATAGCTACAGGGCTGCAATGCTGCTTTCCTGTTTTGCTTTACACTCCTTTCCTAATTTCACATGAAGATGCAACTTGTTTTTCTCATAATTGCTGGAGAGTGAGCTGATGTTTTTCTGGAGCTCTCTGTGACAAGACCCAAGGTTTCACTCTTGACACAGGCATGTCAGAGGAATTTATTTAGTATGTAAATTTAGGATTATTCTTTCCCATCTGCACTACTTTATCTATACTGAATGTTACCAACCACCTTACTTTCTAGTTTCATAAGCCCATTCTGCAATTTTTTGTAGTCAACCTGGGGCCTGACTCCCTCAGCTCAGACAGTTTGGTCACTTTGCTGTTTTCTGTGCTTTCCAGGTCAATTACAAACCTGCTGCATAGCACAGCTCCTAGAAAAGCCCTTCTTTCATTTTGAAAACCAAACATGCAGTCCTGTTTAGTTCTGTTTGTGTTTCTGTGCCTAGTATTCATCCAAGCTAGGACCTTGTCTCTTATGGCAGTTTCATTTCCTTAAAATCCTATGGTGAGGGACTTTGTCAAAAAATCTCCTGAAAATTCAGGCTCGTCCTTAATGATTTCCTCATTGTCCCATCAAGACTATTCCATTGTCTTTAAAGGTCAGGACTAGCCTTTGTAGAAACTATGTTTTATCTTTCAGTTTTATCTTATATTTCAGATCAATCTTCCAGATTTATCCAGGTTTCCACTAATTCTATCTTTTATCATGTCTTCTGTTAATTTACCAAGTGCAGACATGAGGCTCACAGGGTTGGACACCTTCCCTAGAGACCTCTTTAAAATTTTGTGCTGCATTTACCGTTCTCCCCTCCTCAGAATTGAGTGAAACCTTAAGGGAAAGGTGACATACCACCATCAATAATTCAACTATTTCATCCTTTAATTCTCTTAAGACTCTTGGGTTAGTATCAAACAGTCTCAGTGATTTCTTAGTGTTTATTCTCTCTCTTTATTCAATTACTTCTTCCATGGTTTCTTCTGTTTCAGGCAATCTCTTGCTGAGTCCTCTCAAAGGGTTTGGCGCTTCCCCCAGTCTTCCTACAGTGAGCATCAGAGCAAAACACTTATTTACCATCTCTGCCACAGCCTTGTCCTCTCCTCAAATAACCCCATCACCAGCTGACCTGCAGAGCTGGCAGTGTTTCCTTTTGCTCTGCTGGAGGAAGGATTTAGACCTGCCTTGCTGTATAGTGATACATGCTGCCTATAGGACCTATGCATCTTTGCTATAAAAATTGATTTCTTGGGCAAAGTTTTCAGGAAGAGAAAGGTGGTCTCAAGTCAAGACAATGGAACAATGATCTGGAAAGCTGGATTTATGTCATTGTCTTATGAACTGGGCAAGTGATTTATTAAGTCTTCTGTTTGTGTTATTTGTTCACTCCTGATCTCTCAAGTGACCGATTCGATACCTCTAGTATACAAGTAGTGCAGTGTAATTTTGAATATATAAGGTAACACACCAAAAATTCAGAAGTCATAACCTCAAATCTGACATATTAGAAGACTGGGGTTACTTTCAACTCTCTGTGTCTCAGTTCAGCATTTACAAAATGGAATAATCCTACTCCTCACCTCAGAGGGGTTTTGTGCATATAAATTCATTAAAGCTTTTAAAATGTTCAGGTACTATAGCAACAGGCACCATGGAAAAACCTGGAAGGGACAGAGTAATTATCTTCAAAGCAGGGTTTGGATACTGTGCAGTAAATAAGGCATGGGGGACATATTGGGCAATGGGAAGAGAACTAAAATTGAATATTTACTTTTCAGCTAAGCTCCTTCTGTCCTATGCAGAGACTGAAGCACAAGTAGTTTAGAACAAAATTCAAATGTGACTGTGTAATTAGACAATGTCATAATGCTCACACCCAGTGGGGCTCATTTAAGGCATACAAGGCAATTCTTAAGGTTTGGCAGAGGTACCAGCAATTAAAAATAGGTTTTTACGTTAGATAAAAGGTCAGGAAACTGTAATGAAAGGCAGTCCAATTCTCTTCTACTACTCCACTGAATTGCAATTTGGAGGGGTAATAAATATTGCATACAATTTTCAAAAGTACTTTAGAGATTTGAGAGCCTAAACTCTATGAGTGTCATCACAACCTAAGCTGCTATTACTCCAGCTAGAGGAAACTCTGCTCATTCCAGAAATGGAAGCATTAGGATGATATGTCAGCGTGGCACTCCATGCGGAGAGAAAGATCATGAGAGGAAACACGTAATAAATTGGCCTTAGCCAATGTGTTTGGGCTGTCATTGCATACTGTGCCAGCTGAATGTAGACAAGTAAGATATTGAGACAAATTTGATTGATATGATTGAGTTTGACGGAATTTGGTGCTTATTTACAGCCAGATTTTGCTAACTTTACTCAAACTGATTATTGGCCTGCTCCAACAGCTTTTCTGCTGAAATCAGTGGGGTTGCTAACAGTGAATAACACTCAGTGTAAGGGGTCCACAATCTCTCCATTACAGAGAGAGAGAAGGAGAAAGAGGGAGCAAGCATATGGAGGAAGTACAGGGAAATATATTCTTTAATTCTCATACTTAACTAAGTTGAGAAAATTCTTTCTCTAAAACTGAAAAACTGCTAGAACATTAAATTCCATACAGAAAAATAAAATTGTTTTGAAGTCTTATATGAAATATCTATTTATAGGTATGATGCTGTGGTTGACAGTAGAGGCTCCATCGACTACCACAAGGACTAACTTTCACGCATAAACAACTTAATATACCTTGAAATGATGAACTCACCTGACCTTGCCAGAATTTCATTATGAAGTCCAAGGAAGGCAGGTATTTTGAGACTGTAGAATCCAACAACTGTTCCCAGCAATCTGAGCAACAGACTTCATTTGTATTTTTAAGAAAATTAGCTATAAATATTAATTTTCTATTTGTCAGAATTACCCCTATGATTTACTTATTTTTGTTACTGTGTTGTAAATTACTTAATATTTAAGACTTTAAAAACCCACAGCAAATAGAAAATAACTGATCACCATAATAAACATTGTTACAGTGATGGAATCCACACTTTTTTTTCCTATAGAACTGCATTTGTATGCATGTACAGTTTTTTTATGGCAGAAACCGATTTGGGCATTCATTATTGACACACACACAATCATTTTAAGTGCAGTTAAGTACACCATCTGGCTTTTCTTTCCATCTACGCCTGTGTAGCCATACACAGTTATCTGCTATTCCAGGAGTGTCTGATGCCTGTTATAGCTGCACCAGTTGCACCACAATCAGCTGAGTAGGCATTTCCCTTATGAACCCTGATTTTCAATGTTTACAACTATTAAGAAATCGCATCAAGCTCAAACGTGGCATGCACATTTGCAGGCCAGATGTGTTTTTGTTTATCCTTTTATTTTTAAATGCAAAAAATTGCAAGATTTAAAGAGTCCATCCAAATAATACAACATTTATAATCAGCAAAGCAGATCTGCTCTCGGTTTGGGGATATGGTTGCAAGATATTTGAAAGTGGGTCTTACTGAGCCTTTTGGTCATTATTTGTATCCTTCTCTCCTTAGCTAACTGGTACTAGTACACAGCATGTACTGCAAGTCACATTTAATGAAGGGGCTTAAGCATGTCTATGAAAAACCACCAGTATTTGGTGTAGAGGGAAATTGTTCAGATTTACCCCAGCAGCTAGACAGGCTGGAACCATTAATCCCAGCGTAGAAGTTAAAATAGTTTTTATATGTGTCTCTAAATCTGAGGAACCTAAGGAGAGATAGAGAAGCCCTCCAGAGACAAATTCTGTGAAAGAGTTCAAATTCATAAGAGGATATAAAAATGAAAGAAGGAGAAGAGGGGGGGAATAAATTAAAAATATTTTCATTTGAATACATTTTGCCAGTTTTTCTGACCATCTGAGCTTTATGTTGGGAAGATCTAGTACAGCAACATCTCTAAACTTGGGACTCTAAACCCACCAAAGGCCTATTGAAGGATCCAGAATTATCAGGCATATCCCTACTTCATCTGCATGCTCTCCAGGCATTTGTTTTCCTAGGTATGCTTGCAAGTGTGTGTCCCGGGACAATGAATGCCTATGTCTCACCAAACGCTCCACTGCAATCAAAAGCACCAGCTACACCCCACCTCTCCTTAGTAACTCCTATTTGCAAACCAGTCTGCTGGCTAGAGCGCTCAGCCAGGATCCTGCGCACAGTGCCTGTTGGGGGGCACAACCCACACCACCTCTGGTAAGTATGCTACAGAGTTTTCAGCCAAACCCTGAAGTTCTAAAAGAATTTCAAGAGGCTTCTTTGCACATTCCCCACTAATTAGAGAGATGTGTGTTTGAGCCATTTCATACTGAGAAAGGTTTTGAGCCTAGGTGTCTCGCTTCCTCAGTGAGTGCTCTGATCTCTAATAGGAATTGAGGAAACTACCACTCCCTGCCTGAATGTTAAAAGAGAAGAGCGAGCTGGGTCAATTCTTTGAAGAAATAGTTACAGAAGACTGCTGTTAGGAGAAGGGATTCCAGGTTTATGATCCCCAGTGGAAGAAGGCACTTGCCCATTCATTGCTTGGAATGAAGCAGTGGGTACCAGAGGAGGGAAGGGGTCGCACTGCTGGGTGTTACCTCCTACCTGCCTCAGCTTGACACGTTCAAGAACAACAAAAAATTTATATCAATATGAGAGGGGTTTAGATTCTATTCGGAAGTCAGGCACTTAGAATGCTATCATCTATAGGTATTTTTATTATTGTAAATAATTAGTTTTTCAGTTTCCTGCTACTTTCACCTCCTCCCCCTGCTATTCCCCGGCTCCAGTGTGTGTGCTGCTGCACCTTCAGCCAAAGGCTGCAGACCCAGGTGTTGATGTGGTTCCCACAAAGACAGGTCCAATGCTGGGTGATTTGTTGTGTGATTTGTGGGTGGCCAGTAAGCAATATTACATGCCTCACATCTGAGGCAGTGCATTAATGTAAGGTGGAAAATGTTCTTAAGAACAATTTTCCTGCAAATGTATCTTCAGCAGGGGAAAATATAAGCATGTGATTAATCTTAAACTCGTAAGTAGTTCTAAGTCAGTAGGGCTACTCAGTGACATGAAATTAATACATAAAGAGTCTTCATGGGATGAGAGTATGTATATGAAGAAAATTACTTTCTCATCTCATTCCACAGGCATCCAGGACCTGTTCTTGCTCTTGTGATGGCTTCTTCTCACATCAGCTGTTCAGCCAACCACTTACTGACCAGCTGGTCTACTCTCTTGTGCTCTCTCTCCACGCGTGCCTGAGGTGGCAAGAGGGTCCCTTTTAATTTCGACATTGGTCAGATATTTCTTCTATAAAATGTATTCTGAGAGATTATTAATAGTCCTTGACACTGACCTGAAAAGAGGTGATGAAAAAGCACCAACCTAGTTTACTCTTGTTAACCGAGTTTGGAAGAAAGGGACAGGTGAGTTCAGACTCCAGTAAGCCACTCTCTAGCCTCTTTGCTTTATGTGTCTGGATTCTTTTAATTTTATTTATGGACTAATCTTTATCAATATAGTCATTATTGGCTCCTCAAGGACACAGCCATTGTGTGAATTTTAAACAAGTATAAATCCTCTATTTTTCTTTTAGTGTCACTTTACCTTGTTTATTGAAATAGTATATATCATATTATGTTTTATAGAATATAAGCAATATATAATATAGTTCACATCAATATGTTATTCTAGAAGATAGAGTGTGTATTAAAATATATGGCACGTATTGATATAGCGGCTAGAGACATTGTAGTTTAGATGTGCAGCCTGTAGGTCAGAATGAGAGCTACCAATAACCTCCTTGGTAAATCCACCTCCACAGTATATATCTGACTCATGTAGTCAACAAATGTTATTGTTATTCTGATGATGACTCTATACCTCATTTATTTAGCAATTTTTTGGGTGCCCAGAGAAGTATGGGTTAGGAAATCTGTAGCCCACAATTTAGGACTGACAATCTCTGTTGCACCAAAAAGTTGCAAGAACGTGGTGAATTGGAGCAGACACTACATGGGCTTTGGAAAACCTGAGTTAAGATCCTGGGACAGATGTCTTCAATGATTTCATTGAATCTCCTCTCTGCTTCCCTGGCCCTAGGAAAGCATGAAACTCATCTTTGGATGTTCCACTAGAGAACAGGAAGATTTCTTCTAGCTCCTGTTTCCTTCAACTTCTACACATTGACACCCATTTCTGCACATCCTCAGAGGCTAAAATTTATTTCAAAGACAGAGGCACCGTAAGGTCATCCAGGAGTTTGAAGCATCAAACTCTTCAAGTGCTTTCTGGTGCCTGTTTAATTAACCATAGTGTTCCCTTAGTTACGGAAATGACATGAGTTTCTCGTGTCAAAAAAAGCAGAAAAGACAGGTATGAGAAATGTGGGCATCCAAAAAGCAGCATTAGCCATTGATTCCATGAGAACATTGATCCTTCACTCACATGAGACTTCAGTACTGTATAATATAATATTTGGTGCTTAGGGAAAGAGTGGGAGATGTACAGGAACAAAGTCTCCTCATTGTGTTACTCAGCACTGAATATATAAAACAGAGGTTTAAGGAAAACAACAAATCAGGAAAAACAAAGTGAGAGCAGACAAAAAGAGCTGAGACACAAAAGATTTGAAGAAAGCACAGTATCATGAAAGATGGATGGAAACACGGCTTACGGTGTTGCCTGCCTTAAATCTTTCCCATATCATGGCGATTGTTGTAAATCCCATCCTTGGAGCCTAACTGCATCATTTAGACTCTAAGGAACAGCGATGCCTATTACCATGAATTCTGTTCCTTCATGCCTGAATTCTGGCTGTTGCACAGCAAAGCCTTGCACTTTGTCAAGTAGCAGAGACCTTCCTAATACAGTGAAAAACCTGTACTACAAACCACACAAGCATTGAAAAATTATCAGCATTGTTAGAAATGTTAGGACATTTCCTGCAATGAAAAAAAATCTGCATTGTATCCAGATAATATTTGACTGATCATCATTTTTGACTGAATTTGCAGAGATAGTTTAATTCTGAGTTATATATATATATAAAGATTTTCATTGGCAAATTAATAATTTTGTTAAAGTTCTTTCATAGTCTATTTAGAAACAATTTTTAAAAAATTATTTTGGAAATGCAGTGTAAAAATTTAACCATACTGTGAAAACTGTGTGTGGAAAGGGTACATGTGGACTTTTAGTCACAGCCTGGAAAGTAAGCCAAGATACCTCCCAATTTCTTCTCAGTTGCCAACTATTCCTTAGCTAATTTTCAAAAGTCTTTGCAATATGCAAAATTTTATTATAAAAGTTCACATTTCTGGGCTGCAGCAACATCTCTCCTTGAAAATTACATTACTTATTCATGTCTACCTTTTTACTATAAAGAGGAAAAAGGTATAGTGCCACAACAATATACTTTGGAGAATGAAATTATTTGTTCTTGATATGGAAACAGTGTTTTCTTTTGAATTGGTTTGAGTGAAAAGGCAGCAACAAGATTATTTAGCATAGTAAAAAATATCCTATCTATGTTTATCTTCTTTTGAAAACCCTTTATTTTTCAATTCTATGAACAGTTTAAAACCGTTTTAGAAACATAGGTTAATGATTTTTGCAAATAAAATATTATTATGTTGAAACTCACCTACAAATCTCTCTTTATCAGCTTTTGTAGTGCCCCACTTTCCAACCATTTCTTTGTAGGATTAAACTGCAAAATGGATACCATTTGAATACGCGAAGAGCATAAATGTTCTCAAGGAAAATACTGTTTTTCCTGTGGCAAAGACTGTAATGTTTATATAATCCCTAAATTAATATGAATCATTTGGGCCTGTTAAGTTGTACCTCTACTTCATAATTACTGGAACAATTCAAGAGACTGGGAACTGAAGAGGAATCAAGCCGATAATGAAAACAAAAACAAACAAACCCACAATTTGTGGAGAGGTAACAGAGTCAAATGAGCTGTTACTGCTCCATACTATCGTATACAAAAAGTTTCCTAAAACACTGTTCACACTGAGGAGTGATAGCAATTGCTGGACTTTGCTTGGTGTTTGCTGTCTCCAGATTTCAGCACTGTTCCCCTGAAAAGGTTATTAGATTTGAAAGTGCATAAGCAGACTTAAAAAAATGAATTCAGTGTCTTTTAAAATAAATAGGAAAGCTTTATCATTATGGCTACAAATGTGTGTAATACATAAATAGGGCCAAGATGCAGTTGTCCCAGCTTCTACACCTGTATATAACAAGCTTCCAAACTTGATTTACCTGAACTTGGACCTCATATCTAATTCTCCACCAAAAGGTTGTTTTCATATTCAATTTAATTTCAATCAGGTGAGAACATGCACATTTTCTGTGAATGTCAACTTGAATTTCATCATGTTGGTTTCACACATGTGCACAGGTTTTCAGCTGAGATCACATGGACATGGTAGCAGATAAACTTAGCCCTGAGATCAACAAGAGAAAATTCATATCAAGTATTACAGGATAGCCAAAGGAAGCCCCTGTCATATTTGTTAATATAATATAATACTTTGTATCAGAAATGTGATCCAAAAGGTGCTGTGTGTCCAGCACAGCCACTTCAGGAGCAGAACTGAACACTCTGCCCTCTGCCCTCAACTGGAAAAAGCTCATTTTTCAAATAAATTCTCTTCCACCATATACATGAGGACTGAGACAGAGAGAATGAAATACTCACAGAAATGCAGACAACTCAGGAAAAGTCTTTTTTTTTTTTTAAGATCCTGCAGTCCATTTTGAAAAGGAGCAAGAAATGTAAGCCATGCTACTATGTGGCTCCTGTGTAAATTAGCTCTACGGGAATCCAAAATAGAGCAGATTTATGCTAACAACGGGCTGAGGGAGATTACTTGCAAACAACAAAGGCAGCCTGGCCAGCAGTTTAGGCCTTCTCTTGTTAAGAAAATTTTCCGATCTGTAACTAAATCAATTAGTTATACCAGTGCAAACCCCTGATAGAGACATGCTGCACCAGCATGAATTGGGGCTTAAAGCCATTTAGGTTAATTCAATAAATCCTTGTCAGCATTGCTTTGAAGCAAAGTATACCATAGAAGCGAAAGTTTATTTGGGGTAAAGAGACTGACTGACATGTAGGTAGCTATCAAGCTGTCATTCTTCTGGCTACAAGCATGTGCAGCTGAGTGAATATATGTGGCAGGTCTGATTTGGATCTCATCTCAAGCCTATGTAATGAAGAATGACGCTCTTTCCTTTGCAGCCTTTTCTATTCAATAACTGATCTTTAACTAATTTTCAAAAGCTTTAATTGTGAGATGTAACAAGACAATTACACATGCTGACCCTTAACATACTATACTCCTGGAATAACACCGGACTGTCATCTTCCTCTGCAACTCTCTCTTCCCAGCCCTCCCCTTTTCCAGGTGGCATGGTGACCAAGCCTACCACTTTCTTTCTCATTAGCAGGAGCACCAGTGTCCGAGGAAATTGTCTGGGAATACAATCCCCAGAAATG